AGAATGAGAGGCCAGAAATTAAAGGCCAGGAGCTGCAAGCTCCTCTGACCCCACCTCACGCTGGAAGGAGCTTGGGACAGGCTGGCCATCATCTGCAGAAAATCATGATCTCAGCTTGTTGTGCTCAGGCCCTGTTTGTACAGACAGACACGTACAAGCTCTGTGGACAGCCCATAAGGGAATCTCCAAAACATCAGCTGCCCAGGGGACAGGGACCATGAGATCTCTGCTGGAGGCACGTCACCTCTTGGGAAACTGAGGCACAGTGAGCTGGACACTGCTGGTGGGAACCTTTGTTGTCCCACTCACCTCTGTGTCTGTCTGTCCCCTTAGCCGACCACTGCTGAGGACTCTGGCTCTGCAATAGCTCACGCAGTCCAGAGCCACAAGTCACTTAAGTTCTGCATAATTAATTATTTTCTCTTACCACGCCAAATGCACACTTCCAGTCAAATCTAAACAGTGTGTGACAGCAAGACTCCAGCCCAGGACAGCTCTAAAGCTCCCTGGTTTGCTGTCAGGGTCAATACCAAATGACAGACCTGCAGCTGGAGACAGCCTGCACCCAGCCCAGCATCCCTGGCCAGCAGCCGTTCCCCCCTCCATGGCCTTGAGAAGAGGGGGGAGGTCCTGCCTGCCAGCCAGGGGGTCTCGGGGTGGTCGAGCCAGGACTCTGAGGCCAGATCTGCCCCAGGAGCTGCTGTTGGGAGGAGAAGGGTGTACAGGCTACGGGAAAGCAGGATCAAATCCAGCTGGCTCACTCATTCAGGTTCCCTTTCCCTCCTGTTTTTACCTTTGTTCCATAGTTTTAACAAAAATTCACTCCCTAAAGGAAGGAGCAGAAACCTTCCCTCACACACCTTACACTGCCAACCCCAACACCCCCCCCGCCCCCGAGATCCATCTCAACCATGAATAACCGAGAGGCACTAAATCAGTGGTGGCTGCCCCACCACCCTCCCCTCTCCGCACATCTACCTCCCCTCCCCTGGGCTGAATAGGGACCATGAGAAACCAGGCCGGGCGGGGACGGCCCCATGCCCCTCGCTTTCTTTCAGGATCAGCACATCTACGGGGCTGCTTGTGTTCCCCAAGCCCCTCTCCCCTCACAACATCGGGGGCTGTAATCTGAGGGCAGCGGGCTTGGAGATGGAGAAGAATGCAGGAGCAGGGAGGGGGGGACGGGGACCATCCCCTCCCGCCACCACCACCGCCAAAGCCCCAGATTCTTAGACCTGGAGGAGTCACCACCAAATTCCATTCAACTGACAGAAAAGAAATCAAATCCTTTTAAAGAGAGCCCACTTTCCCCGCAAGAATGCTCCCTCAGCCTTTTGTTGCAGGGCTTTGCTTGCTCCCAGCAGCTCGGAGGAAGCTGCTCCAATACATTAACCAGTTTAACTTGCTCGTGACCCCCTCTGCCCAGCGCACAATGAAGCTCTTCGCCCGCTTTTTTCCCCAGCTCCTTTTCAGGAGCTAAATCCCCCGCTGTTCCCCGCTCACTGCCTCTCTCCCTCAACCTTTCTCAGGCCTCTGCTTCATCCCAGGGAAAATAATAACGCTTTGCATTTGTATAGCCCCCTGGCCTCGTGGGATCTCAAAAGTGCCCTGCACGGATCACATCGTGTCCCCCCCGCCCCGCCAAGGGGACCTGCAGTCTCCAGAGGTGGAGGGGGAAAACGATGAAAGGTCTGAGGCCACGGAAGGTGGATGTGATTTGCGGCAGGTCCCAGCATAGAGCGGTGCCAGAGCTGGAGCACATCAGGGGATGTTTGGGACAGGGACCGTTCAGCATCAGGAGATGCATCATGAGCACCCGTTGCAGATCTGGGTGTTGGGCAGGAAGGCACTGATGTGCTCCGCTCTCCACAGCCACCCTGATGGCAATGCTAGACCCTCTATTACAAGGGCAGGGAGGTTTTATGCTCCCAGGGTAGTTTAAAAAAAATCCAACAGATGAAAAAAATGAGCCCTCATGCTGGCCCTGAATAGCAGAGCCCATCAGACAATGGGAAGTTAACCAAACCCGGGACAGGGAGCACAGAAGTCTGCTGCGGGGCGCTGCCGTTTTCCTACCAGTAATTGATGCAAAGTCTCTTTTGTGCTCTCAGAAAATCCCAGAAAGAAAAAGCAGGGGGTGAGAGGGGGACCGCAGGCAGGATCCAGCTCCCGGGCAGCCCTTCTCCGACGTCTCCCTCGCACACCTCGGCCGCACGGTCCGAGCCACCCGGCTGCCCTGCCCGTCGGGGCTGAACCCCGTTAAGTACCCATGACAATACGATGGCAGTGAAGTTGGCGCCTGACAGAGCTTTTAACCCCTGTCCGACGAAGCGCGTAAATTGTTCTGGGTGGACAATGCAGCTTTGCAGCCCGAGCGCAGCGTTTCTCTCAGATGACCTGAACACTTTATTACTGGGGATTTATTAACCATTTTTTTGCAGCCCTGAGAACCTGGGAGCCTCTTAGGGACCACCTATCGAGCGCCGGGGTCAGGCTGCGAGCAGGGGTGATGCAGAGGATTTAAACCAATTTAAACCAACCTAATACCACAGCACGGCTGAAAGCGAGATGCCCCATGTGCAGCCTCAGCCCTGGGTCAGTGTGGGGCTGAATCCAGCCAGCTCCAGTGGAACACCAGTATGGGGTTTCAGTGAGGTTAATTTGCAGTGGGAATGAGCTGATGGGGTTCCTCTGCAAAGGGCATATCCCTGAGATGTGGGGGATTTGGGCAGTGGGGTCTGGCTTGGACCCATCCCTGCAGAGCCAGGCAGAGTGGGGAGCACACCACCACCCCACAGCTACAGCCAGGCTCACCTTGCAACATCTCAGTGGGGTGAGTTATGGACCATGTCCAAAATGGGATCCTTTTTGGGGGAGGAAGTGAGATGCCCCTCACGGTCCAGCCCTGGGCATCCCTCCTGCAGAGCAGACGTGACACTGTGCCTCTCCCCTGGCCCTTGTGTTTATGGGGCACCCAAATTTGTCTGGTGCTGGGGGCACCCCCGTGAGGGTTAGGCTCTTCGTACCCAGAAGGGTGAATGCCAACAAACCGGGCACAGAGCATTCCTGAAAGCATCCTCCCCTCCTGCTCCCTGCCCCTTAGGTACCATCCTGTGCCCACTGAGGGGGGAGCAGGGCAACCGCTTACCCCATCACTGTTTCCCCAAGGGGGATGATGCCTCGTTGGGGATGTCCACGTGGCAGGCGAGGGCCGAGCCAGGAGGCCAGGCGCCTGGAGAGGAAGCTTGCGGGGACGCAGCCAGCGGCTGGACAATCCCAGGGGAATCTCTCTCTGGCGGGACAATGTCGCTGAAAGAACGGCTTCCCCTCACTGCCACGGCTCACTGACCCCGGGCAGCTGGGCTGAGCCGAGCACCAGTCCTGAGAAGGGGTTTACAGGCACTGCTGGGGGGCCAGGAGAGCCCTTGTGCCAGCACTGGTGGCAGCACGGCAGCTCGTCAGACCCCGCTGCATCGCTCAGGGCCAGCGACACACAGAGCCCGTATTGTCACCCGCCCTTTGGCGCCGTCCGGGACCCCAACATCTGGCCACGGCGCGTGTCCCCAGCCAGCGCCGAGGCTGCGGGAGCGGGAGAGCAGCTGGTCGGGGGAAAAGTGCCTTTCCTCCCCTTTTGGCTCCTGGAGAAAGGGGCTCTTTCTTCATTCAGTGTTTTGCCGATCGGGCTTTTCAGCTGCCTCTCGAGCCGCGGTTGCTGTGCCATCGGGTTAGAGACAAAGGGCGCCCGAAAAAAAAAGCAAATTGAGACTGGAGCAATAGCGGGAAGTGGGGAGTGTGGGATTTGGTTCCTGTGTTTGTACGGTCTAACTGCTTTTTTTTTTCTTTTATTATGGGAGACTTCTTTGGCAGCAGAGGTCGCTCCTCAGACCTGGGCATTGCCATACAAAACCAAACCCCACAGCCTCCCTGTGCATTTCTAGCCTGGGGCCATGGTTCAAGGGCTGACCAGGGAATGTATAGCCTAAAATCAGAAGGCAAATGCTGGGGCTTGCCTGAGGAAGCAGGTTCCCTGCTTCGTCCTGCCTGGTATTATGGTATTGTTTATCCAGTGCCAGAGATGAATGGAGCACGTGACAGGAGGAAAAATGCAAGTTGGACAAGGTCCCTGCCCAAAAAATGCAGCAGCCCCTGATTATGGCATTACATTGCAACTCAGGCCCAAACCCAAATCCGCCTCCCTGTAGCAGCGCACACGCTGGGAGAGAAAACCCCAAGAGCTCCCTGCCTGCAGATACAGAGGATGAGGGGGAAAAGAGGCCCCGGGGTTTGGCGTCAGTAAAATAGCAGGTTGGTGGCACATGCAGGACCAGATTTCAACCCAGTTTTCCCTTTCAGCCACTTCTCCCACTGGAAAAACCGTGTCTCATTTAACAACACACGGTTATCATAATCAGTGATCACTGGGGGGCTTGCTTGGCACCTACGTAGCATTTATTTTCAGACACCCCTGCACCTTGGGGCTGCCCATCCCTGGCTCCAAGGCACGGTGCTGCGCCCCGGGGGGGTTACCCAGGTCTGGGAGCGTCTCCAGGTCTCCCCGGGCAGGGACGGGAACAGACCCCCCAGCGCCCTGCTCCCAGATTCACCCACCAGACTGGAGCTCGGTGGAAGTGAGAGGAGCGCTGCGGGTTTGGGGGGTTTTTAAATTATGCTTGACCTCAGAGGAGACTGATGGGAAACTGCCTGGCGTTTGGTCAGGCTGGTTGGTTTTCTGGTCACCTCCCGGACACGGCCGTGAGAAACCCGTGGTGCTGGGCCCTGGGAAACGGCAGCTCGGGATGAGCGGGACGGGGAACGCGCCCGGTGCTGCCAGTGAAACGGCGAGGAGCGATGCTCCGGCATGCGGGGGGCGCAGGGACCCGCGTACCCCCATCCCGCACCCGCCACCTCCCGGGCTTCCGAAGGCCGGGCAGGAGGGGCGGGCAGCC